GCAACCTGATTAGTTTTATTATTTTGCCCACAAAATAAGGAGTATACGAATAATTTGCTTACAAGTGTTACATTGTTAAGTTAATTAATGAGAAAATGTATGTGACTGTTTTTCTGTGATTCAGTATGGTAAAAGTTAAATTCTTCATACTGCTTTCACAAGTTTCTAAAATAATTATATTATCATTTTCCTTGAAAGATATACTTTAAGTACAAATGTCTACCTTGTAATCTTTAGTTAATGCCTTGGAATACATTTATGGAAATTGTATTTTTTAGTAGTGATATATCAAAAATATTTAAAGTTATACTCCTTTTCTTTTCTTAGGATTTGGAACTTGGACGGAGTACAGACATCTCATTTTGCTCTTAATTCCCCTGGGATGAGTGTGTGCTGGCATCCTGAGGAATCTTTTAAGGTTGTTATTTATAACTTAGTTTTCTTTTATCAAGCTGAAAAGATATATACATGTGTAATACTTGCACACATAGAGGAGAAAAATCAATGACTTTTTTCCATCTCATAGACAAATGTACTTGTCACAAATGTGTTTGTCACAAATACATTTACTCTAGAAAGCTATACCTTAAAAGTTCTGTATAATTAAGTTTTTATTTGACAGCCATCATCTCTAAATGGCATTCATTCAGAAGACACTTTTCCTGCTCTTGGCAAATTACAGTCTAAAAACTGATACCCAGATTGCCTAGTAGCAATATTTGTTTAAAAATAAAAGTTAAATCCATGCTTGTGAGCCATAGTGTATAAACAGAAAGTATCTGATATAACTGCAGTGATAATCAATACCTATTCAAAATAGAGCGTTCTAAAATCCTAAAAGTATCATTTGGCCTTAACTCTTACTTCATTGAGAAAGTGGGAGCCATTCAACAAGAGTTGTCTTATTTGCCAGTATCTTCTCTTGGGCATCACTCTGTTTCATTGTTCCCTAGAATCTGAGAAGCTACCTACCACATTCATCTTAAAGTTAATCCTTCAGTTGTTTAGAGCTGATACCAGTTTCTTAAGTGCCGGGGTTCTTGTCCCAGCATCTAGAAGGGTTCAGGAATCTGGAAAAGGCTGTGCATAGATGACATAGAAATCCAGAGACTAATAAAGAGTCCAGAGACGAGATATAATGTTGAAAGACATTGGGGGTCAGAGGACCTTCAGCTAAAGGAACTGAAGACTCCCTCCTTGTCTAGGACCCTTGCTTTTATTAACACAATTTGTCCTAAGGCAAGGTGGAGATAATACACTTCAAAGGGTAAGGTTTCAAAGGGTACAGAAGCATTGCCAGTTTGGGGATTAGCTTACGGCTGTTCAGGTGCTTGGCCAGTAGGAGGCAATAACATGTAGATTAAGATGCCCTTTAACTGTCTGGCAGCCAGCAATCAGTTTCCTACTCAGGTTTGGGGAAATGCCTTTAGCCATTCCCAGCTGGTGACATGTGTGACTCCAAGTCTCATCAACCTTTTGATGAAACTCTTGAAATTATGACATGCTGGAATTGGTCGCCGGCACTTAAGCATCCTTTGCATTTTATCTTCCATTTATAATACATATATGCAAATGTTTAAATTTTACTACATACATTGAATCTCTGCCTGCTTCTCAAATTTGGTGAATGAAGTTATTGAATTTTCTTTATTTTTCTGTCTCACAGCTGATGGTTGCAGAGAAGAATGGAACAATCCGATTTTATGATCTTATGTCCCAACAGGCTATTTTATCTCTTGAATCAGAACAGATACCATTAATGTCAGCACACTGGTGTTTAAAAAACACCTTCAAAGTTGGAGCTGTTGCAGGGAATGATTGGTTAATTTGGGATATTACTCGATCCAGGTACTTTCTTAGTTCATTTATTGCTTACAAAAATCAGTCATTGTTTTTTAATGATCCACTGAGCCATTTTTATATCGCTGGCCCTCACAGTTGAGCTAAGGCAAGTCTATTTTGAAAGGGCCAGGGCTATGAGTTTAGATAACAAAGATGGGCATTGGTGCTTTGCAGATTCACTTTGAGCACAACCCAGAAAGAGCAATGTGAGGAGGAAATCTTAGAGCATTGTTTACTTACATTGAACAAACAAACACTGACCCTGTTGAATAATCGTGTTTTATGATGGTTCTGCACCATGCTTATGTCTTTATTATATTTCATCTATTTCAATCCCATGCTTATTTGGAATTTTGTCACAGTTTAAGTATATTGGCCATTGTGATGTTTTGTTTTGTTTTTAAACAAGTTATCTCATTATTTTTTATTATTATTATTTTGTTGTTGTTGTTAATCCTCAACCGAGGATATTTTTCCATTGATTTTTAGGGAGAGTGGAAGTGAGACGGAAAGACAGAGAGAAGCATCGATGTGAGAGAAACACATTGATTGGTTGCCTCCTGCACGAGCCTCGACCACTACCTGGCCGGGGAGGAGCCTGCAACCAAGGTATGTGCCTTGACCAGAATCAAACCCAGGACCCTACGGTCCGCAGACCTATGCTCTAACCACTTAGCCAAACTGGCTAGGGCTTGGCCATTGTGTTTTTTAAAAAGAAAATACCTCCCGGCCAGTGTTTCTCAGTGGTTGAGCATTGACCTATGAACCAGGAGGTCATGGTACGATTCCCAATGTCTGGTTACTTTGTTCGTGCAGTGCCACCATCTGGAATACTTTTCCAATCCTCTTCTTTGCTCTGGATTTATGTTTGTTTGTTTGGGGGGGTTGTCTTAACTAAGATTTTGCTCTTTTGGTTTAGGCGAGGGTGTGCTTTTTCAATGTTGTTTTTTAATTTTGTAAGACACATTGCCACTGTACGAGTACCACCAACTCCCCCCACCCCCCCATAATCTGGAGGCATATGCTTCCTTATTTTATGTACTGATCAAGCTATAAAATGTAGGTGGAACCATATTTTTCCATATAAACTTCATTTTTGTGCTAAATGAGAACATGCTAGACATTATCTGCAACTTGCTCTCTCTTTTCTTGCTTAAATTAACATTCACGTCTACCTTGTTTTTCATTCCTTTTTGCATAATATTCCATTGTACAGTACAGTCTTTAGGGCTCTTTCATTTTCAAGCAAAGGAGAATTTACTGACTGAGACTAAAACCAGTAGAACATGTAATATTTGTATATGACTTCAAATCTAAGATTATAGTCAACTCAATGTAAGAATGTCATAGATTGTGAGATGCATCCTGATTTCAGAGATGTAAGCAAATAGTATATGGTACTTAACAAGAAGTCTGGAGAAGGGAGTGTCAGGATTAGTTTAGTAGCTCAACAACGTCATCAGGAGTTTAGACCTTTCCCTCTGCCACCCTCCATGGCAAGGCTTTGGACTTGTTGCTTCACAGTTGCAAGATGACCTCCATTGTTTCAGGCATCATAGCCTCCTCATTGGCCAAAGTAAGGGGAGAGGAAGAGCACTCCCTTTTTATTGGTAATAGCTATCTTTGCTATTGTGTCTCATCTTTTGGGATTGTGATGAGTGGAAGTGAGACGGAAAGACAGAAAGTTAGCTTTTTGCCAGAAGTTGGGGTTCAGTTAGCATGGAAAAAGGTCAGAAAGGCTGTTGAATAAGCAGCTAATGTCTGCCACAAATTTTTGTCTGTTTTTTTGGTCAGGGAATCTTTTCTTTTTTTTTCTTATCTTTTCTACTTATTAAAGTGTTGGGCATGTTGCTGGAGCTCCATTATCATTCGTTGATTCATTGATTCATTATATTCCAATGTGTAGGATGTCTTAAATCTTAAATACTTAAATATCTAAATATTCTAGGTGTTTGTATCATCTCCAAGAATTTAAACTTGTGAGTTTATCACTATTTCATAACAAGTGTCAGTAAGAACATTAAATGTATTTCTGTGAAATAGTTTATATTTTATATCAGTCTGATACCTTGTTGATATCTCCTACCACACTGTTAGCCCTTTGGTTATAAAAAAGGAACTGCTAACCTGTGTAACTTTGGAATGTAACAAAGTGGCACACCACAATAAGCACTTAATAAATATTTACAGAATGAGAAAATATAGTTAACTTCCCTGGAATTTCTCATTTTAAAGCCCCACTAACAAATTCAGGGTTATAAAATTATTGTTTTGTGAAACAAAAAAATATAACCTGTTTTAGAAAAGTTTATAGTTATCTGTAAAATACTGAAATTATTTTTATTCTTTCTTTCCTTAGGTGGTCCACAATTAATGAAAATTTGTTTGCAACCACTGGTTATCCTGGCAAAATGGCAAGCCAGTTTCAAATTCATCATTTAGGACACCCTCAGGTAATGTAGAGATGTTTTGTGGCATATGGGTTTTTAATTTGTTTTTTACTTTTTCATTTATAGCCCCCAAATTTGTAATGTGTATCTAGATATTTATGAATGTCATCTGCTTAAATTGGAAAAAGAAGGCATTTTGATGCTTAAATCACTAGTGGTAATAGATGTTTTGTCTATATACATATAAGAAGCATTTTATTTCTTCTATTATATTTTCTCCTTGATTTATTTTTTTAAATCCTCCCTGAGATACTTTTTTCATTGATTTTTAGAGAGAGAAGAAGGGAGAGAAGGTGGGGGAGGGGTGAAGAGAGAGAGGGAAACATCAATATATCGATGTGAGAGAGACATATTGATCCATTGCTTCCTGCACATGCCCCAACTGGGGCTGAGGATCAAAACTGCAATCCAGGTGTGTACCCCTGACTGGGAATCGAACCCAACACTCTTAAGCACTGAGTCACACTGGCCATGGCTGTCCTTCATTTAAATATAATAATTTTGCTTGCTTGGTTTGTTTAGGCTGCAAAAATATTTGACTTTGGGTTGCACTAGAAATTCATAGATTATTTGTATCCTTCCTTCCAATCAACTGCAAGCAAATAATTCCTATTTTACCTGTGAGGAAGCATATTTTTTAATTCTGCTATAAATAAAGGCAATATATGAATGTATTTTTTATTTCTGAAGGGTAGTTTTTACTTACTAACTTTGATGATTTAGTAAGCTTCTTTAATTCTTCACTTATTTTATAGCCCATCCTCCTTGGTTCAGTAGTCGTTGGATCTGGCCTTTCCTGGCATAGAACTCTCCCACTATGTGTAGTTGGAGGCGACCACAAGCTGTTGTTTTGGGTAACTGAAATGTGACATAAATTTCTGGCTAGCTTGGATCCATAAGTTTTGCATTTTTGGAGAATTCCTTATTTTTATATTAAATATACTGTAAACTCTAGAAATATCTCAGTTGTTTTTGTTAAATAAAATATTAATGGTTTGAAAAAAAATTTTCTACTCTGTTCTCTGTGTGTGTATGTGTATGTGTATGTATTTTAATCAACTCTTAAGAATATAATTGACTCAGCAGTTCCAGAAAAGAAATGACTAGGGAAACATAATGCTTTTGATTTTATCACAGGATTATCCAGAGTATATGCTATCCTCTATACTTTAAATATATGCTACTTTTCTAATTCTCAGGGCCAAGTATTTACAAAAGGAAAAAAGGATCTCTGGTGTTACTCTGGAAGTTGTTGAGTGTATGAATAAAGGTTATTATTTAACTTAATATTAAAAAGATGATTAATTCCTTAAAAAATGTGAGCGATTATGTTACTCGACCCTGTTCATTATATGCAAATTCCTTTTGACTATACATATCCACATTCTTAGAACATCTGGTATATAGGATAAAGCTTAACATGAAAAATAGCATCATTTTTTAACAGCTTTTGCCTTTTATGAATTTTCACCATTTTTATAGTAATTTAAGTGTTTTTGAGATGACATCTAGTGGCAAAAGAACTGTATTCACCATCTCAAAATTGAAGTCAGTATTATGTAAGGCAGTCACCATGTTTTTGTGACACACTATGATGTAATCAGAAGAGTGTAAGCTTGGGATTTGGCCTTCAGTCATATGGAATTAAGTAAATTCCTACAAACTCTGCATACCTATGAGTTGAAGCTACATTTCACCCTATAAAATAGAGACAGGAATCAGTGTCTCAGGAAGTTACTGTAAGGATTAAGTAAAGGTGAATAAAAAATACTTAATAAGTAATAATTTCAGAGATGTATAGTTCATATTTTTGAGTAATTGAAAGTTTATTTTAATTAATGCTAATATTTTTACTCAAGTTCTCTATTTATATGATTTCTTATAGCATCTTATGGAATCAAGATAATTATCTTTTGATAGGGAAATGTTACAGGTATTTAAAAAATTTCAATACTGTTTTGTAAACATGTAGATGTTTGGTATGAACTGTTATATGCTTTAAAGTACAGATAAGAAAATTACAAAGCATAGCAATTTCCATGTCAATTATTTAATACAGTAAAATATTACTACCAAATAATAGAAATAGTTTCCTCTACCCCTTATAAGCAGGTTTTGAACTTACAAAGGAAAATGGCAGTGAATTTTGACATGGTTCCCATTAACAGTCTCTGTGATGGGACAGAGAGCCTTAAAAGCATCAGGATAGGCCAAAAATTTTGTAAGAGTTTGTCATTTCAGGACATTTAATAAAAATAAGGGATACATCCTGAAATAATAAATGGGGCCAGTGTAGTTGAAAATGGTCTAATACTTAGAAAAGGTGGCTTAGGAATTGAGTGGGTTATGTTTAGGGGTGGAGGTTAGAGAGGTGAGTTATGTTGGGCTTGGTATCTGGGATATGGGATCTTTGGAATAAGGGCTTACCCAAATATAAACATTGTCAGACGAAATTTCCAGTAGGACTACTCTTTGCTAGGGGAAAGATAAGTCATAGTGGTCGTGTAAATACAGTTATGCCAAGGAGAGGCAGGCTGTGTTCCATTTGTATATTAATATGATGCTGTGAGAAATGAGAGGAATGCCTTTACCTCCAGGTTCCAGAAGTGGTATACATTTTACCTACTAAGGACAGAGCTCTAACCTTTTTTTTTTTTTTAAATATCTTACATATAGAAT